GGGCACACTCATTTTTAATCTATTTCAAACCTTTGTATATTTTTGCCTTACCGTGTTTCCCCCCACCTGCCCTGGCAGGGGGAAGCACGGTAAGGCAGGCGGGGGGAAGCATACCGTCACCGGGTCGGGTTCGGTCGCTCCGTCTTATGTCTGATGGCACAGTTTGAATGCCTGGTCCGGTCCAGTCAGCGGCCCAGCAAATAATTTAAATACTTTTAAAATCTATAAAGCAACTGCAGTGATACTGACCAAATGTGTAAATTTTCTCAAATAACACTTAATTGTATGTGCGTTGGACTTTGACATCACAAGGAAATATATAGCTGTTTGAAAACATAGCTTCATCAGTGCTAATAACTATGCATTTGATCCTGAGGCCTTTATATTTTGATCTAACTAATTAAGGATTTTTATGATTTTTTTTTCTATTATGTGAGCATTTTAATTGTATTTCATTACATAAAAATGGCCTGACAGAAGCAGAAATGAATTAAATGCTATAATACACAGATAGTGTGTCAGTAGTGAAGAATATTTACCCACCTCCAAATACATAGCTCTTGAGCATGCTGAACTGTTTTTTTTTTTGTTAAAGTTTATTCGATCTATTTTGATTCCAACACAACAAAAGTACACAGTTAGTCAAACACCCACTCATTTGCACATCTAGTTTCTACACAAAAAAATAATGGTTGACATAAAAGATGGAAACTTAACTCCATTTGCTTTTGTCCACAATTATCTCTGTAACAAATTAAATTCACTTTGACTGTGTACCTGTAAACCCAGAATATGCATCTTGTTTTTTCTATGTATTTTAATGCTGGGCTATTCATGTCTAATGAATTTGATTACTCCTATCTAAGAAACTTTTTTCAGCCATATGGGTGCATACTATATTGTATTGTTATATTCAAACCATCTGGTTGCTCCAAGACATTTTATTGCAAAAATCTGTGGTGAAAATAGAAGGGAAGAGTGTCATTTGCCTTGTAAAGAATGCCATGCTTATACCCTTTCTCTTGTATTGTGTCTTTTGTATTTACAGGGACAGGGAAGTATGTTGAGGTGGAGGCTAACATGAAAATGACCAGAGCTTTTTGGACCTATAATTGAGATGGCAGGTACGGAACAAACTCTACATAGGAGTGTGAGCCCCTACATTTTAAGCCTAGGTAAAAACAGCATTTACAGTATAGAGGTTTAATCTACCAGGAAAAAAAAGAGCAACAAAGTAATGTCAATTAAAAAGGATGTTAAAAAATGCAGAAAAACATTTTTGTTTTCCTGTCTTTTGTGCTAAAGATGTGGTCCTACCCCTGTGTTTTTGAAGAAAATATAGCAAATAAAAAAAGAGCATTATTGAACTAAACAGCCTTAATATGTTTCTTAAAAATTTGATTTATTCATAGGGTAGTTTTTCTAAGCTACTTCTATTATTTTCTTAAGATGCTCTTTATTGTAGTGTAGCACTGAACACTTCACAAAACAAGAGCACAAATTTTCTGTTAGGTCAAAAGTACAATTGTAACAATAAAAAAATATGCATATCGGGGTAAAAATGTCTTACCTTGGCCATGATTGAAAAATTATTAATATTAGTAGTAATTGGAAACTGTTTTAAACAATTTTAAAGTTACTTGATAGTGCAGTGTAGAAAATAATCATTCTGGCTATGAGACACTAAGGAAAAAATAAGATAGACTCCATTCTCACAGCAGAGAAATTAACTCATTACAATTCTTGTTGAAATGCAAGTAAAGTGCAGATTGTGTAGAAATGTATAATAAATAATTGAAATTAATTGAATCGAAACTAAAAGATCCAATTAAAAACAATAATATAAAAAGAAAAACACAACCCATTTACATGCCAGTACAAGTAAATAGATTATAGATATTCACAGTATTGTCAGAGGTCGGAGGGGATTGTGCTAAAGTGACAGTACAGTAGATGTTTGCAAAGACTGCGGTATACACAGTGCTGAACAATCTGACAGTTGTGGTGATGAAGGACATGTAGAGGCTCTCCATTCTGCACCGCAGGTCTTAGTCAGCCACCGAGAAGCTGCTCCTCTCCTCTGCTAACCTGGAACAATTCTTGCACTGCAAAATGGACAAGGTTCTTTTGACAGAACATCCATTTCTTGGGCTTTTTTACTAATACCAAGTGACCACAGCACATAATAATTTCAATAACAAGGTTTACTTCCTAAGTACTAAACCATGAAAGAAACAAACATTTTCTTATTGCCAAACTAATATAGACTTATTTTAGTGCTATATTTGGCTTTGGCAAATATATATTTGGCTTTGGCAAAGTTTATTTTATAATGGATAGAATTGTTTGAAAATATTTTCTAAAATCACAGCATGTCTGTCGGTCTATTCTTTTGTTGTGTCCGAAATATAAACATCTGATCAGACAGGGTGTTTATCAGTAGAGCAAAGGAATGATAGATCTAATGTTAAAAGGTAAAAACTCCTGGTGAAACTTTACAACATTTTGGAAATTAATCCACTTTCAATTCAACTTAGTGTTGCTCAGCTTTTCAGATTTTCTTTTTTGATGCAATACATTTATATAAAAAGTCAAATATATTTGTGATTGAATATTAAAAAGATGCTAATGCTGACATTGTTGCCTTGATGGACATCTAAAAACCTGAAGAGGTTTATTTGACTCCATATCCAATCATTAAAAAATCTTTTAAATCAGATCAGTGTATTTTTGTCGAATTATAATCAATTATATTATTTAACATTCAATTAAAAGTACATTCACCTGGGTGTGCCCAACAACTCGGAACACGGAAATTGTTGTGTAAAAGCAATAAGCGAAATTTCAAATAATTTGGCACATTTGGAGAGGTTTGGAGACGCTGATGACTCCGGAAGTAAAAAGTCCCATATTTCTAGAACTGTTATACCTAGAGGTCTGATATATTCTGAAGTTGTTGTTGGCATAATGCAGAATAAATGTAAAACAATGAAAAATTCCTATTTTCAAGCATGTCGTTGTTACTGTTATGAATATATATATATATATATATATATATATATATTTGAGAAGAAAATGTATCACACATGTAATTGGGCTTACATTTCCTTAGGCATTTGCTTTTTTTATTTGGGTATGCAAAAAGGAGAGGATTACTTACATTTAGGAGGGTGTTAAGGTGTTAGTCTATTTTTTTTTATACAGGGGCTGATCCTTATTTATGTTTGGGTGTGTTATTTAGCTTTAAAGCTTCACAAAAGTAAAATTAATTATGTTCATACTACTATCAATGTGTATGAGATCACTTGCAGCATGTAATCTAAAGATTACGCACTGAATGGAGGCCATAAAAAGAGCTCAAGAAAGCACATGGCTAACAGACAAAAGATAACTCGTTTTAAAGGATATTTTGGTCTTATTCTAGTAAAAAGAAACTGTAATGATTAAATCAGAAAACAAATAAAAGTTAATGATGTATATGAGTTTAAATCCTTATTAAATTAAAATATCTTATAATTTTACAACACACAAGACATATTAGCATCTGGCTCAAAAACTCTAGCAAGCTATAGTCCGTTTCTAACCAATCAGCAATTTTAGTTTAGGTTTGACCAGAGTAAAACACAATGAAAGACAATATGCAAGTGGTTTAGATGAAAATAAATTTTGCCTTTAGTTTTAGAATCTGTGCCTCTATTTTTGCATTGTTTTGATGAGCAAGGGTGATTTTCAAAGGTCAAGAAATGTTTAAGTATGTCAGAGGTAGCATGGTTTAGGGGTGGAAGAGGGTGTTTGTCTTTCTCGCAGTCTTTTGCAGTTCTTCTTGACCATGGGTACACGGAGAATTGCTGACTCTACAGAGTTCTATGCTGGGGACACATTGGACAACTTTTACATTCTTCACAGATTTTGAAAAGACACAATGTTAATAGTACCAGATTTTTCTGGGATGCTTTGCTTGCTAAGCATCTAAAAACTAGAGCATTTACCAGATCAACTACAAACAACTGAAGGCATCAAATCATCAGGAATGACAGTAAACGTTTAGGGAGAAAAAAACCTAACAGTAGACGACAGCAATATAAAATATTATGAGAATTTTGAAATGCTATTACGCTTCCACTTCTCTTTAAAATAACAGAGGCTACATTTGTAATACCGCGAGTCTACAGAATGGCGTCTACAGAATGTGTCTACAAAAATAAAGCAAACCTGGTTTAAAATTCTTACATAGGGCACAAGCTTAAGGCACGTCAGTTTAAATTAATACATTTTTTCCATAATTTTCCCCTAAATTGGATAGCTGAAGTCTTGGCAAAAAAAACCTAGACTCCTCTCTTCCAACACGTATCCTACAGCTCCTGTGAGAGTAGCCCTAGGCAATACCAGGGTAGCTGACAGACATTGTTCGCTCGGCCTCCTATCAATGGAACACGCCAGGGGCACCTTCCAAGGGGGGGGTCCTGGCTGGAGGCATCCAAAACAGATACCTAAGCCAGCTTATTGTAGCCTAGACCTCTCGATTTGAAGGAGCAGCGACTTTGCTCAGTCATCCTCTTCGGTGGCCAAGCTCCTCACGCTATCTCCAAACACCAATTCACATTGCATTCAACTCAGCTCGGCTTAAGTCCAACCTCTGCAGAAAATGGGCACCCATTATGATCAGGAATGCAATCCAAAGTCAGTTTCCAAATATCCAAACTGTGCCCACATGAAGATGTAATACCCAAAATCCTCATTTTTAAAAGGTTCACTAAAGACAGATTACATTTTCTTGGACTTGCTAATAAATATATGCCTATATTTAAAGATAAATTATTTTTAAATTAATCTTTAACAGTTAAACATAATATACACATTAAAT